ATTGATTAATTCTAGTTGTTTTCATTAATTCTAATTGTTGTGGTGGTGGTTTTAAAGTTCATTTTGAGAGAGGGAGAGAGAATCCCAAGCAGGCTCCACACTATCAGGGTTCAATCCCAAGAACGGTGAGGTCATGACCCGAGCTGAAGTCGGATGCTAAACTGTCACCAAGGAGCCTCTAACTGTAGTTGTTTTTTTTTTTTTTTTTTAAATCTGTATGCTTTCTCTTATTTTACAGGCTCTCTCTTTGCCTTTTCACAAATCTTAGAAGGAAGACAAACTATTATGTATGAGGTTAGCTGCAGGTTTTTCAGAGATATTGTGTCAGGTTAAGGAAGTTCTCTTAATTCTAGTTTGTTCAGTTTTTATCAGGAGCAGATGTGAAATTTTACTGGATACTTTTCCTGCCTCTATTGAGATGATCAGGTTTGTCCCCCTGTATTGTGTAATATGGTGAGTTACATGGAATTATTAAATTCTTCTTGTGATTCATTTTTCAAAAAAACATTTATATTGTGGTAAAATAGACAATTTACCGTCTTGCCCACATGTATGTGTACAGTTTGGTAATGTTAAGTATATTCATTCTTGTGTAACCAATATCCAGAAATTTTTCATCTTGCGAAGCTAAAAATTTATACCCTTTAAACAATTTCCCATGTCCTCCACCCCTCTACTCATGCATCTGAGAGTTTTATGTAAGAGTTTCAGTCTCTGACACACTGGAAATAAAAGTGGTCCTTCACCAGAGGTTTTAAAATCAGTCTAAGTATTTTAAATCAGTTTGCTAGTCGTAAAAAAACCTTTTAAACAAGCGGTTGGCTTGCAAATTAAGCTTTCGAGTCGTACACACACACAAAAAGCCAGTGTTTTGAGAGAACAAATGCACCTAATTTTCCGATTATTTTCATGACTTCAAACTTAGTAAGATTAGATTGTGTTTTTAAAGCAGTTCATTTCACCAAGCCGTAATTTTTTAAGCATGTCAGAGTTTGGCTTGACCATAAATAACATACAGCACGTTTTCCCTTGAATCCTTTGATTCCGTATACTCTGGTCCTGGCTGAAGCGTCTTGTTGTTACACAGGCAACATAAACAGGTGATTCTTTTTAGTTTAAAAAAAAAAAATGGCTTACCAAGAACCTCTACCTGAAAAATCATTGGCTTGCCTTTTGACAATTACTAACACTCAGTGTCACCATTTCTTCTGTTGCTGTTCTAAACCAGTTTGGCTCTGTGGATGCGATTTCATCTATTTTTTCATAAAGACTAAACTCTAGGGGCATCTGAGTGGCTCCGTCGGTTGAGCAGCCGACTCAGGCTCAGGTCACGATCTCCTGGTTCGTGAGTTTGAGCCCGGCATCTGGCTGTGCACTGACAGCTGATGGTGTGGAGCCTGCTTGGGATTCTCTCTGCCCCTTCCCCTCCCCCACTCCTGCTCTTTCTCTCTCTCAAAATAACTAAATAAATAAACTTAAAAAATAAAGACTAAACTGTAACATCTAATTTTAGTTGTGGAGTCAGTTCTTCCCAAATCGATAGTTAAGTACACGGGACTCATGCACAATACAGCACATGTGGACGGTCATATTTTCCTCCAACCCAATATTCCAGGAATTTGACAACCATTTTTTTTTTATGCAGGGAAAAAAACTTCCAAAAACACAGAAATATACTGTATAATAGTTTTATTTTTCTCATATTACTATTTTTACATTTTATGCACAAATATTTTATCTGAGTAAAAATAGAAAATAACTGTTTTATGTAAAATTACAAAAAAAATAAAACCCACAAAGAAATACATAATTGTTATTATGACCGTATAAGTGTCTTTATTTAAAGAGTAAAAATGTAGGCAAAAATCCTCTTTCCTTTTACAAAAGACCGAGAATATTTTTTTTTTTTCTGGCAGCAAGTGAAATATCACTGAAATATCAATATTTTTACACCTTCTAGATGTGAAGACATTAAGTTAGTCACAGGTTGTTTGGTAATTATGAATCTTAAAACATTTTTGTGCTATTTCAAAGATACACTAGTTCTTTTTAAAAGGCGGTAGCATAAAACGATGAGTATGGAAAACAGCTGACCTCACCCAAAGTGATGGGAGGTACAGCCCTTGAAAGGAGTATCATCCTCGAGTGTCCCCATTAATCGGGAGAGAAGAACAAGTACTTAACGGACACGGATGCACACACGCGAACGTGTCGAGCCGGTCGTTCCACGTGAAGGTCAACCACACGGCATTTCTGTTTAGTGTGTCTGACTTTCCAGTATCAACACGCATTTTCCAACTTAGGGCTACGTACACATGAAAGTTGGCTCAGGGAGAACCTCACGCGGAAAACAAGTTTTAAGACAAAAACGGGCATTTCCTTATTTTTGTACTTAGAGGCGACAAAAGATGGCCAATGATTCTTTCTTCCTTTAAGTATACTGTAAATTCTATTTGAAAATTTATTCATAAGAACAGCAAAGAGTGAATAACATGAATTCTATTTTCTCTTACGACACAAGTTATATCTTTCAATAAAAGAAGAGACTACCTGGCTTTCTGATGATTTGTAACCTCTAACAAGGACGATGGGAACAATTTAATATGTAAGTTGAGAAGAAGTCACTCGAGTTTCTTGACTCCACTGGGGAAATGAGTCTCATGACTTCACCTATGTTACAGTATACGAAGCGATGATGACAGATGAAGAAGAAAGAAATAGCACCTGATCCTGTAGGAGAATGATCCTTGTTCAAGTTATAACGGGGAATAAAAACTGCCAAAGGAAGAAAAATGGGTAAGACGTATTAAAAAAAAAAAAAAGGAACCTGAGGACTTAGAGAAAAGAAGCAATAGTTTGCCTTTAGGATCTAAAAGAACGTGGGTGTTCCTTGCCTTAAAATACACATATACATGTAATTGCAACATAGAGGAAGTCTGTCATCTTTGCTAAAACTTTAAAATAATGTCTCTGCAAAAGCATTTTAAATGTTAAAGTCAAAACTTTTAAGTTGCTGATAATATACCAGAGGAGTATACTTTTTTATGGTTTTACAACTATAAGCAATGTGTCAACTCTCCAGACCAGAAGATGGGGCAAAACCTTTTTAGTGATCTATTTCTTACGTGAACCTGGAGCTTCTATACAGGACTTCATGCTGTCATTCTACTCGGATACTCTTACAGTCGCCGTGCCCAAATTAAACTAATAGTTTGTCAGTCTCTTCTGTATGTGTTTATAAAAAGGTAAAAATAGAAGCTACAAGTTTTATTTTTTTCCAGCATCTACTGGGGGGCCTTAAATGACTTGATAATATAAAGGGACTGACATTACGCAGTCCTCCAGCCACAGCACTTCAAGTCACGATCTGAGGTGACCAGAAAAGAAGATCCTTCCTCTCCTGCTTGTTCCTCAATTCGCCTCCTGCTACGGCTCAACACAAACGACCATCTGGCTCTGGTGGCAGCGACTGCAAGCGATGCCTCCTTGACTCACTACCACCGCCTTTCCTCCGGGTTAGACAAAAGCATCAGCTGAGCTTTTATAAAGCTGTTCAGGGAGATGGCTATAAAGGAAATGATGAGGGAGAAGGTGCATAAAGAAATATCTGAGAATCAGTCTCCTGCTCTAAGAGGATTAAAAAGCTCTCTGCCAGCATCTCCTTTCGATTCATGTATCGCAGCCTTAAAACAAAAAACAAAAAGAAAAAAAGAAAGGAAACCAAGCAAAAAAAGAAAGACATTTCTAGTGATTTCTGTTTAGTGTTGGATTGTGATGACGTTTTCATAGATATGGGGATCATGTAATTAAAATTTTTTTTTAAATGAGGTATTGTCTTTTAAAATACATTTCCTTTTGAATATCATCATGTATTCATATATGTGTACAGTTATACATACAACAAAATGGTCAATTGGACATGTATACAGATATACGGGTACTCACACATACATAATATTCAAAAGGAAAAAGTTAAATAGATGGGAAATTTGGTTTTGAGAGAAGACTTGCCTGTACTGGAGGTCAGAATTTCCTTTTAAATGTACTGGCAACTAATTTGTTGTTGTCTGGAAAGGTAAGGTTAACTGCAGACTGATTTCAAGGCTTCCTTTGATCAGAAACACAATGACTCTATAAGCTGCTTTTGCATAATACACCTGCAGGCAGAATAGGCAATGAAAACAAAGAAAGAAACAAAGCAATCCATACCAAACCAAACTAAACCAAACTTTTATTTTCTGGCTGAGGTATACCTTTCCGTTTTTTTCAATCTCTGACAGGAAAAACAGAGATCATTTCAGGATTTTTGTAATAGTTGGTTTATTAGAATTAAATGCCTCTCTTAAAATAATTTAAATCCTGGCCTGACATTATGAATAATCTATACAGAAAATCCTTAAAATTAGCTGGAGTGAAGCCAGATTTCAACCTGGATCTCCTTCTTCGGCAGTGCTCTTCTGCCAGTCGACTTCTTATTGTCCTTTGCTTGCAAATATATAAACTATTTTAATAACTTGATACTCTCAGTTTAGTAACTTATTAATATTATAGTTTTATTTGATATGAATATTTTAGCTCTGCTTGATTAGATGAAACAGGCACACATGCTGTAGCTGTGAAAAATTCCACTTTCTGGTTCTATGTAAAGCAACATCTAAAGCAGCAGAGAGGGGAAACAGTTATATTTCAAAAATAGTTAAGCCAGACTGTTTCCTGGAGATACTTCATTCATTCTTCATCCTCAGATGCTACTGGCTATTTTTGGTAGGGCTAGACATTAATACTGACCAGTTTAGCTTTCCTGACTGTTACCAAACTATCCCACAATGAGCCTGACTTCACGCTGAAGACATTGTGGTGATCCTTAACATACACGTATTCTAAAATATATGCTTCAAAGTAAAAAGATCCAAATTCACAAGAGTATGAAACATTTATAAAAAAATCATGCATCAGATTGTACAGTCTAGAAATAAAAGAAGATTCAAATTCAGTAATAAAGGTAAGAGCAACACTTGCTCTAACGTTTAAGAAAGACCTTGGGCTCCCAGAAGGTCCGGGCTCAATTATCCTTTTCCGTTTGCAGAGAAGCAGTGGCCAGGGCGACCGCCGTGACCGGCTGGGCAATCCCATGAAGCTGCATCTTCGCCAGTTTCTTCTGTTCACACTCCGTGACCAAGCGGTTCAACTCTGCCGCACTGTATCCGATAAGAGTCTTCAAGTCACAGACAAACTTGTACACAAATCTCTTGCCTTGGACTTTACAAATCATGTCCCCATCATAATAATACCTTTAAAAAGAGAAGGACACATTGGGACCATGTAAAAAATACAGAATTTGGACTTCTTTCTTACGATATTTCACAGATTCTTCCATAAACAGGAGCCTGGTAGAGTATTGCGTCTACCCCAACAGCAATTAACATTGAAGTTACGGTCCAAGCAAACTTCAAAACATGACTTACTAAAATTTCTTTTTTTTTTTTTTTTTTTAACGTTTATTTATTTTTTTGGGACAGAGAGAGACAGAGCATGAACGGGGGAGGGGCAGAGAGAGAGGGAGACACAGAATCGGAAACAGGCTCCAGGCTCTGAGCCATCAGCCCAGAGCCCGACGCGGGGCTCGAACTCACGGACCGCGAGATCGTGACCTGGCTGAAGTTGGACGCTTAACCGACTGCGCCACCCAGGCGCCCCTGACTTACTAAAATTTCAATGCTCAACATATTTCCACAATTATGATAAAATACTACTTTAAAAATAAACAATGTTAAACAAAACAAGAAACCGTGGGAGTGGTCACAGAACCTAAGAACAAGGGCCTGGAGTCAGAATGTCAAGATTCAAAACCCAGCGTCTCTACTTAACTACCTTTGTGATTTTGTGACCACAGGAAAGCCAAATTTTCTCTAAGTTGTTTTTGCTTTTTAAAGTAGGCTCTGCACCCAATGGGGGCTTGAACTCATGACCCTGAGATCCTAGAGTCGGATGTTGTACTGACTGAGCCAGCCAGGTGCCCCGCAAAGTTTTTATTCCCCATCTATACAATGAGGTTAAAAATAGTATTTACCCTCACAGAATTGTTGAGAATTAAAAGGATTATCTTTGCAAAGTGCTTACTTAGCACACAATGACTGGCACATAGCCCTCTATAAAGTATAAGCTATGTCAATAATTAAGAACCCATATAATAAGAAGAAAATTTTAATATACATATTCAATGGGTTGTGGGAATGTCCCCTTCTTTTCTGCATTGTACAAAACCCTTTGTGATGCAGCCACACCTTCACCATCACCATTTTAATATGTAAAGGCTCAACTTGGAGAGAAGTTCTCCGAATCTAACAGGGAGCCTCAAAAGTAGAAGTAAAAGGCCAGAAGAAAGACAGGATACAGAAAACCAGGAAAGAAGACATCATAAAGAAGCAAGAGTTGCCTCTGTGGGAAACCCTCTAGAAGTCTAGCTTACTGCTGGTTTGTATGGAGATGGAAATAGAGCTAGATTTATACTCCGAAAAACAGACCTGATTTACTGTCATGCGCTGCCAATTCCAGTAACAGGGAAAAGGTAAGTCAAGACTTATCTGGGCAGGTGGAATGTGAAGGCTTTGTTTTAAAACTGCACTGCCCATCTTACCAATCTGACAATGAGCAGCTATGAAAGGAATGACTATTTGCCCAAATACCAGTGGTGTAAACTACCACAGTTGGCAGGATTTTATTACAAAAGTCATTCAATTTAATCAGGAGCCCATTAGTGAAAAGGCGGATCTACATGCAGGAAATTAGGTCACTTTTCTTTAATTCCAGAAGAGCAAAAGTGTCACAGTCGGTCACGTTGACTCTCTCAGTAAGAAAGACCACACACTGGGTGGGCACAGTTCTTGTGTTTCCTTTTGTGCCAATCACGTTAATACAGAATTTAGATCTCAGCCCAAAAACCACCAACTTCCTGTCATCCAGTTTAAAACGAGATTCGTACTTCGGCTTCTCAAGAAAATTTCTACATAATACGTAAGGCTGTAACAGACACTTGAGAAAAAAATAAAAGAAGAAAGTGGTTTTACATGTCAAGGAGAAAAACGGAGTTGGTATAATCTTCTTTCTCTTGGTAAGAACGGATAAAGAATACAAACACTAAATTTAATTTTACTTAACGTGTCTTTCAATCTACTAGACGCATCATACAACCACACCTAATAGCAAGCATCACATCTGTACCCTCTCTACAATGAAGTAGAAAGGTACACAATACCTGTATTTTCCTGGATAGGATTTTTCTTAAACTTGTCTTTTTTTAACCTTTTAAATTGTGAACTATATTACATAAACAGCACACCCAAGTGAACAGCTCAGTGATTTATTTCAGTGAACATTCGCCTGTTAACTACGACCTAGGTCAGGAGACAGAACACTGCCAGCCCCCAGAATCCCTCCAAGGCCCTTCCCAGAAATCACCACCCCTCCTTTACTCTAAAAGGTAAACACAATCCAATCCTGTTCCATGATGATAATTCATGGCTTGTATTTACACTCTCATCACCCAAAAGTGCATCCCTAAACTCTGCAATTTAGTTTTCGTTTCTTGAACTTTACACTATAAATGTAATCATATACAGTCTTTTGGGTCTGATTCTTTGACTGAACATTACATTACACTGCATTTGTATCAGCGCTTGTAGCTTTGTTCATTTTCTTGGATACACAGTCCACTCTCGTTTACCATAATTCATTTATTTACTCTCCTGCAGACGGATACTTGGTTTCTGGATATTATAAATAATGCTGCTATGAGCACGTGTGCGGACATATGCAGACGCTTCCTATGGGTAAATATTTAGGAGAGAAACCGCTGGGTTCCAGGTTCCGTCCCTACCAAAAGTGCAGAAGCACCCCCGTGCTCACAACACCTGGTACCAGCGATCTTTTTAATTTTAGCCATTCGAAGATATGTGTTGTGCCATTTTATGGTGGTTTCCAACCAAGTTTCCCTGATTACGAATGAGGTTGTGCACCACGGCATATGGTCACTGGCCATTTGTATCATCTAAATTCTGAAGTGTCTATTTAAGTCTCTTGCATATTTTTTCTAGTTTTCCTATCGACTTGCTACATGGAACTGATTTCTACTATAGTATAAGGAAGGGCTCAAGTTTCACTTTGTCCATATGGCTGGTCAACTGTCCTGGCTCTGCTGACTGAAAAGCAAGTCTTTCCCCCACTGCCATCTTTAAATCATTCCTCTTATATACCTGGCTCTATGTGGGCTCTCCATTGTAGTAACCTGCGGTCTGTTCGTCTCTCCTAAGCAAGCCATGCGCTGCCTTACTGTCGAAGCTTTCCAGCACTTCCCGCACTGCTCTCCTTCCTCACATGCCCTGCTTACTGCGCACTTCATGTTCCCATATATGTTTTACAATCAGCAAGTCAAGTTCTACAAAGAAACTTATCCAGATGGTCTCTGCATTGAAACTTAATATCAATCTGGGGAGAACTGACATCTTAATGATTAATTCTAATAATTTATGTGTAATTTTGAAGGGACTTGTATATATACATTCATAGCAACCATCAAAAATGAAACTTTTAATTCTAAGTATATGGAAAGGATGTTTAGATAGCTGGCAAAGTGTGTGAGACTAAATAAGTGATAAGCACATTGAAAAGAAAGCATTTTAGTTACTCAGGAATGCTATTTTGGAAAAGTAAATAATCCTGTAACAGTACTCACATGATCATGATCCTATAACTGTGAATACTGATCTAACCACAATTTCCATGTAATTATGTAATGACAAGAGAGTGGAGAAAGTGTGTGTGTGTGTGTGTGTGTGTGTGTGTAGTGATGGGAGGTAAATCATAATCTCTCAGTGTGAAATTCACAATGTTCAAGTGAATCATGAAGTAGCAGTAAACGCATATTATTTAGAAATACAGAGGTAAATTGCAAAGCTATTTTACACTATATTCACTCTTCCAAAAAAAAGACAGTAATTCCATGATATTTCTATATATCCCACTTCTCAGTTACTTAAATGAACATACTGAATTTCCCACTGTAGTAAGCATAATTTCTGAGAGTAATTCTGTCAAAAAAATTCATACAAGTTATGGGATATTATAAATAATTTTATTCTATTCCAATTCAGTGTGAAGGTTGGATATTCAGAGGTAGGCAGGTTGAAGGGGAAGAAAAAATAGAGGAATGGGTCGATCTTTTGCACCTAGTTATAAAAAAGGGAAAATATCTGCATCTTTGCTAAACTTTACACTCAATTCACCTATGCAAATGACAGCATCTTTATCTGTTAGGTAAATGACAGAAAACTCAGAGATTAAACAGTTAAACACATATATTCTTTTCAACCAGATAAAAACAAGTAAGCTTGGAATCATCTTTTTTTTTTTTTTAATTTTTTTTTTTCAACGTTTATTTATTTTTGGGATAGAGAGAGACAGAGCATGAACGGGGGACGGGCAGAGAGAGAGGGAGACACAGAATCGGAAACAGGCTCCAGGCTCTGAGCCATCAGCCCAGAGCCTGACGCGGGGCTCGAACTCACAGACTGCGAGATCGTGACCTGGCTGAAGTCGGACGCTTAACCGACTGCGCCACCCAGGCGCCCCTGGAATCATCTTTTAAGGAAACTGTTCCTCAAAATTATCACTAAAGAGCTTTGTAAAAAGTCATTTTTAACATAAATGTAAAACCTTTAGCTTTCTGGGGTCATTTTTTAGAAAGGTTTAATGTTAAAAAGAAAAAAAAAATCATCGCCTACCTTAATGCACGACTTAGTTTCTCATAGTTCATTGTAGGCTTATTTTTACGTTGTCCCCATTTTTGTGCAACCAGTTCAGGCTGATTTAGCTTAAACTCGCCTTCGTCACCAACCCAAGAAATGCAGTCTCGAGCATCCTTGTCAGTAAGAAGTTCTAGCAAAAACTGCCATAGTTGAATTTGGCCATTGTTTCCTACATGGACAAGAAGGACAAGTGCTGACCACAGTGCTATGAATTAACAGCAGGCCAAAGACAACAAACAGACTCTCTGGGTCATTCATTCCCAGCCATGCTAAAAATACATTTGTTTACAAATGCTGTTTAAATACTGCCAGGGAAATAGCATATTCACATTTTCATACAATGAAATGAAATACACATTAATTTGACAAATTTTAAAATACCATTAGATAATGCAAAAATACCTGTTCTGTTCCCAGGAGAACTTCTATCTTCTCCTGAAATCCTTGGAGCTCTCTGTACTTTAGCTGCTTTTGCACTACTATTTATGACTTTAATGGTCGTTGGTGTAGCAGACTGCACGGATGCTGGGATAATTTGCACAGCTGCAAAGAAAAACAAGGAGAAATTTTCTTCTCTTCCACAACAAGCAGTGAAAAAAATTACTGAAAGACAAAGAATGCAGTTAGTTTTACTAATGCCCCTCTAATTAGCTCAACAAAAGGCCTCGTTTCAAAAAAGCCTTAATCCACAACAGTTTTGAACAAAATTGCCAAAAAAGTTCAGGGGATAAGGTATGATGTTTGCTGTATGGTTTGCGAATCTTAACTTGAGGAGTGTTGATCTTATTTGGAATTAACTTAGTGGTGTGTATATGTTAGGCAAAGAATTATGAAAATGTTTGTTTTCAAAATATTTCTTCATTAACAACAGTGTGTCAAATGTTGGAGAAAATATGGACAAACGAGAACTTCCATGCACTGCTGGTGAGAGCAAACCCCTGCCCCCACTTGGAGAAAAGCTACGGTAATCCCTCATCAGGTGGGAAGCATAGAACTCCTGGGATAGAGAATCTCACACTCATTCTTACAAATACTCATTCAGTGCCAGTCACAGAGTTTTAAAAACAATATTTAACAGCAGTGAAAATGAATGAAATTACACCACCAAGTATCAATATGGGTCTCATAACTGTCAAACAAAAAAGCAAGTTACAGAAGGATATGTACAGTTTATGATCATTTTACCGAAAAAGTTTAAATATGTGTAAAACAATACTATCAAGTGTGGTTACCTACTTGATAAAAATATAAAATATGCACAGAATAATAAACACCAAATTCAGGACAGTCATTTAACGCAATATATAAAAGTTCTAATTCTTATGGTGCACATAAATGGTTATACTTCATTTCTTGGTATGTCTAAAATATTTCATAAAAAGTTTAAAAATTAATTTTTCTTTTTATTACCTTGCAGTGAATTAAAAAAAAAAATTTCTTACTGACAAATGGGCCACATGTTATGTGCATGAATACTCACGCTGATCAATTGTAACTATCTCATTCATCTGTTGTTCTTGGCTTGCCAACACATCTGAAGAACATACATAAAAATTTCTGTTTATATTTAAATCCAGAAAATCAAACTCAAGTTAGTAAAACCCACCCGAACCAACCAACCAAACAAAAAAGCAAAGCATTCAACAAAACTCATTGGCACAATAACCTAAGAAATACTTGATAGTCACTTTGCAAGGAAAAGATATTTTTAAGACAAGCAGCAGATGGAAAGCTCTAATTCTTTGAATGGTAAGAAAAGTTATTCAGAGAATCACGGTTTTCTAAACATAAATATCTGTATCTATATCTCCTTCTGTATAAAACCATGTAAAACAGGGGACTCTTCAAGATCAGATCAAAGATGAGACTATATACACCACACTGAAATGGCTTAGATCTACATTCTTTAGATGTACGTTCTCAGTCAAGATGACAGATCTTCATAAGTTATTAATCTAACAGACTGGATAAAAGTTTTGAATAAGATTGCTTTAACTTTATAAAGGCTCCTTCTTAAAGATAGCTAAATTTTCAATAAAATTGTAGTGGTCCTAAAAGTCACAAGTGAATCAAATAATGTAATAATGGTTACAAATATAGCTCTCATATGAGAGTTACATTGTAAAAAGTCCTAATATAACCCTTTAGAGAATCATTCATCACTCATCTTTTGCTACCCTTTCTTTCTTTTTTTTAAAGATTTATTTATTTTTGAGAGAAAGAGAGCGCACAAGCGGGGAAGTGGAAGAGAAAGCGGGGGACAGAGGATCTGACGGGGGCTCTGCCCTGACAGCAGTGAGCCCAATGTGGGGCTTGAGCTCACGAACGGCGAAATCATGAACTGAAATCGGACGCTCAACTGCCTGAACCACCCAGGTGCCCCCTATCCTTTATTTCTTAAACAAGAGTTCCTATTTCCCAGTCTCTAACACTTCAACCTATTTAGTGTCCATCATGGATTGGATTCTTTTCTCTTGAAATTGTTCCTACCAGCAATCACCTGTGTACTGAGTGAGTCCTAGAGCCTGGGCACCCAACACAGCGCTACTTAGGGTGCCATGCCAGGGCCCGGTTCCAGGCACACAGAACTGGGAAGCGCTGAGAAACTGAAAAGAAGTCTAAACCCTACCTGTCAGAAGGGAGCTTTCTTTGGGGGTCCTGAGTTTGGGGGATTATACAATTATATGGGACTGGCCTCGATAGATCTTCGTTCTGATCTTAGCCCTCACTTATTGGCTGCGTGACTTTGGTAAATTATTCAACCAACTTAAACACTAATTTCCTCATGTTTAAATGAGATATCCCCACCCATCACCTCACAAGGTTGTTATGAGGATTAAAGAAAAATGCTTTCAAACAGCACAATGCCGAGGGTGCCTGGGTGGCCCAGTTGGTTAAGTGTCTGACTTCGGCTCAGGTCATGATCTCGCAGTTTGTGGGTTCAAGCCCTGTGTCAGGCTCTGTATAGACAATGCAGAGCCTGCCTGGGACTTTCTCTTCCTCTCAGAGCTCCTCTCTGACTTGTGCTTTCTCTCTCTCAAAATAAATTAATAAACTTAAACAAACAAACAAAAAAGCATAATGCATGAAACAAAGCTTAACTTTCCAGAAACTGAAGATGTTACTATTTCATCCAGATTCCTAGTTCTGAGCATTCTCCTCAAGAACTGTTGTCTCTCTTGAAGAAAAATCCATGCCCCACATTTGTAGATTTCCCCCCAAATTTTATAAAGGCACCTTGAAGAAGCAAAGTGCTACTGAAACAGAAATTGTTCCATTTGTGGCTTAAATGAACACAGATGCCCTAGCCTAAAAAGAGGCAAAAGAAGGGCACCTGGGTGGCTCAGTCAGTTGAGCGCCTGACTCTTGATTTCAGCTCAGGTCATGATCTCACAAGTTCATGAAACTGAGCCCCACACTGGGCTCTGTGCTGACAGTGTGGAGCCACCTTGGGATTCCCCACCTGCCTCCTACTCCCATGCTCTCTCTCTCTCTCTCTCTCAAAGATAAATAAATAAATATTTAAAAAATATATTAAAAAAAAAAAAAGAGGCAACACAGGGAGTCACCATCGCAAAACCCATGTGTTACCAACTTGTAAGATCAGCTTCTAAGCTCTGAGTCTCAGAATGGAGTTTGGTCTGTCTCCTGGGAACTCTCAAGATTAAGGCACAACACAGAGGAGGTTTTGAAAACTGGGTTCAAGACCACACAGACTACCTATCATATTCCTCTACTGTAGCCCTCAAATCCTGGCCACGTACAAAAGAATCATCCTAAGAGGCAGCGCTCTGGGTGAAATGAATCCATTTTATGAAGAAACTTTAGACACTAAAGATACAAGGCAATTCTTTTTCCTAAAGGAGGTCCTCTGCAAACTGAGAGCTTTGGCTTTGGTGACAGCATTTCAAGAGGCTCTTCAAAAAGCTGTCAGTAATGGAATATTCCTAATTATCCTCGCCAGTACAACAGGACTCGGATGAAGTTTCCAGATGAACTGCAGGAAGGTGGGGGTGACCCAGGTGGAGAATCTAACATAAATGAAGAAGAAGCTCTGTCTGTGCAGCACTGCTTCTTCTTGAAAGATCACGGACGACTAGATGATAGATGCCGGGTTCGTAAGACATATGCTATAGACTTCACGCTACAAGACGGGCCAGAGTACCTGACTGTGCTCAGAAAAGCCTGTTCTGGGAAATGAGGCTTGTGAATTACAGAAAATCTGCCAGAAATAGCCTTTACACATCAACCTACCAATCCCCCAATTCAGAACTGGGCATTAGGATCCCAAACCAGATGGGACCTTCCTTGCCAGGACAAAGCAAAGAACCATGGCCAGATAAGCAAGGAATTTGCAAGATACTTATCTAAGCCGTGGGGCTTTGTTACTTTTGAAAATAACATTCCAGGGCAGAGTTTTTCTGAGGAAGACCCACTCCACTTCAAGGAAATGAATGAACAGATACATGAGATTCCTCTACTCCCCATACCAGGAAAAGTCGCTGAATGAGCTTTAAAGATTTTGGGAAGCACTAGGAGAACCAGACAGCCACAACAAAGTGCTGCCCTCGGGGAGAGAGAAAACCCGCCAATCTGAGAAAAATCAAAACTGCAGTCTAAGCACCATCATTGTCCTGTCCTAATCTTTAGAGTTCGTATATGAAAACATTTCAGTAAACATGACTCATATGCTAAAAATCTGAAACAATTCAAGAGTTTTCATTATTTATCTGAAAGGCACGAAGGAGAAAAAAAAACGTGAAATCAAGGACAAAACTTCAACTAGAACATTTAATTTCTTTACCTATTAAGAAAAACTGGAAATAAACCCTGTAAAAGTAACGAATGTAGTGAGTCAGTGTCATAGATATGTTTTCCAATATTTAAGAGATTCCATAAAAGAGACAAACTATAATCAGTGAAGGAAAAACCCTGTCTCCAGAGCTCATTTCTTACTCAGCAGTAGAGAATGCACCCCAGGTGGTCAATTACTATGTAAAATCCCTCCAACCTGAGCTGTTCTTTTACTGGGCACATAACAGAATAAACCCTACCAGGTACCTTTATACACCATTACAAAAACAAAGTCAGAGTTTGTCCTGTTCACCCATTCTGAAAAGTATGTGTGTCTGGCTAGCATTTCTGGCCTCTAAACTGGGTGTTAGGGAACAGGTTACTGCTAAAATATTTTAACAGATAGTCACTGTTGGATTAAAGTGGATTAAGAGGGATTAAAATTCAAACAAAATAATTTGCATTTACTTGAGCTTTTTGTTGGTCAGCCAAGTAGTTTCTAATTTCTGTATATAGTCACTTAATCATAATAATAATGTCTGTGGAGCCAACATGGAAACACTTATAACCAGCTGCTTTCGATTCAAGGTGGAGGGATGCACACTTACACTTCTTTCTCTTAAGATCCCATTCAATTAAAAGAAATTGTAGAAGGTTTAATTCCACTAATGATAAAAAGAAACAGGGACGACATCTGTGGACAATCTTAAATTTCTAGAAGATAAACAGTAAATGAAAGAACTGATGGATGAAATAAAAGTCAATGACTAAAATTTATGAAGAGAGCTAAGTATGCGGCACAGCATCTTAAGAACTGAGATTCTAGTGTTCACCAGCCTGGTTTTGGATCCTGGCCCTGCACTCCCTAGCCTTGTACCCTGTGGAGCTGTCTAAGCCTCACTTTCCTATCTAAAAAATAGGGAAAGTAAGCATCTGTGGCATTAGAAGGATTAAATGAGATAATGCATATAAAGCTCCCAGCACAGCCTTATACAATTAAGTGTTAATTATTATTGCTATTATCAATGACCACAATGCACAATGAAGACAAAATTATAACGAAATAAAATTAAACTGAAGTTACAACGCAAATAGGTAATAACTTAAATTTTATACATTTTCGAAGAAGCTCCAGATGACTCCACAGAATTTCTCCCCGAGGGACTCGCTGAAAAAAATCTTCTTGGTTGAGACTGCATAATTCTCTTCCGGAAATGTTGAGTGTAGTAAGGTCTATATCAGTCATGCTGAATTCCTTCATTACCCAAACCACCCAGTGCAGGACTTGGTCTGTGGACCACTGTATAGGATCTAAAGAGAAAAATATTACCATTAGCCTAGCTCTATCTCGACACTACATGAATTCACGGTTAATTTGTCAATACGTATAAATATATATATACACACATATATATGGAGATAAAATCCAGACAGGTTTTTTTTCCCCAAGTAAAGTATATAAACTCAAATAAAATAAAAAAAAATTTTGTTTAAAGTTTATTTACTTTGAGAGAGAGAGGGGTGGGGGCACCGAGAAGGGGCAGAGGGAGGAGAGAGAGAACCCCAAGCAGGCTCCGTGTTGTCAGTGCAGGGCCCGATGCGGGGTTCAATCTCATGAACTGTGAGATTGTGACCTGCCCAAGCTGTGATCCAGAGTTGGATGCTTAACCGACTGAGCCACCTTAGGTGCCCCCAAATAAATTTTAATGATGTATTTTCTCCTCAGCTCCTTTCGAATTTTTCAACCTAAATTTGTAATGACTTCATCTGGTTTTACATCTGTTAGTCTGGAGTTTTACTAAGAAAAACAGTATAAAATTGCTCTCCAATGGGTCAACTGGAAGAATAAAATATGTGATTACTTTAGAGAGAATGGGGTTAAGTTATTCAAGTTTCAAACATTATTTTGTAGCTGTGTACAATTTGGTGCACTGAAAAAAACCCAAAAAAATCCATAAGGGGCTTTTGAGGAACTAGACTTATTCTCCAAAATGTGCACAACATAATCTTTCCTCCCTTTTGCTTCTTGTAAAAAGCTAGTGCTCCTGTATCTCTACCCTTTGGTGGCACTTACAACATGCAAATTGCATGTTTACTCAGCTGTCTTTCCCTGTAACACGTTAAGGTCTTGAATATAAGGGCTGTGTCTTGTAAACCACTGTATCTTCAGCGTTTACCACAATGCCTTATGCATAATTTGTTAAATCTATAAAAAGTAAATACAAATAAATTCATTTTCCTCATCATTTGTTACTATCTAATTGAATTCACAAATGAAAAGGATGGCCAACATGTGCGAATATTTAATTGTATCCCTGGCATCTAACAGAGTATTTTACCCATATAAATTTAATAAATACTGACTGAATTAATTTTGATACAGATACTTCTGCATGGAGAAGATGACCTATCCAAATAGCGTTGGTTACGTGCCCTAAGCTGCAGGCTATTCAATAGGAGTAAGTGGGGAAAAAACATTTAGGTACTTATCAAGAGCCAATTTATAGTAAAAAATGAATCAAACATAATAGAGGATTGATAGTCACAGAACTGATTTTTTATTTGATCTTTTCACAAAGAGGTGAAGGGAGGAGGATGGCAGTGAAGTTTTTTAATGTCTCTAAATGCACATGTTAAAAAAATACCACTAAAAGCAACTAGAGAGCAAAACCAAAAATCCAGGTATATTTACAATAAAACGAGGTGACAAGATATCCCCAGGAAAGCCCAAATACACACAGGTGAAGACAAAGCTGTAACAGTCACAGACCTTCATGGTGTCAGTTATCTGTGCAGGAGACAGCAAAGCGGGGAGGAAGCAAAGGGACATGTGACCCATTCTTCATTCTGAGCACGGGAGACTGCGAACACAGCCAGGGAGTTCTTACTGAAAGCACGACAGGCCAAGCCAAAGCAGCAGCTCAACCAGTCCTGCCCAATCCAGTAACAGGTGAGCCCAAAGGTCTGAGGTAAAGGTGAAGGGGCTGGAGGCAGTGTAGCATCTGTGAGCTCTAAAAACTGAGCCTGCGGATCACATCCAGGAGAGTGGACCACAATGAGGAGAAACCGGAGGGAATGGGATCGAAATTGAGTAGCATAGGCACACCAAGGAAAAAGAGAGAGGAGGTCCAGATAAAAGTGGAGTAAGGGGACAGGCAGGAACTGAGCAAGCAAGTGGCTCTTTTTTAAAGTTTTATTTATTTAAGTAATCTCTACAACCAACGTGGGGGCTTGAACACACGACCCCAAGATCAAGAGTCACATGCTCTTCTGACTGAGCCAGCCAGGGGCCCCTACAGGCTCTATTTTTTAATATTAATTGAAAATAACAGATGAAGGAGTTCTGGGAAGTTAGAGAAGCTATCCTGAAACACAACTCCCTTTAAAAGTTCAAGTAACCTCATTTTACAAAAACATGAAGAAAGTGTCAAGATAAAAAAGTTGGGGGAAAACAGAAGTAGTCTGATTTGTTTTCTTAAATAACATTAGGACTTCTGTCCTACATTAGGACTTCTCTCCTACGTTAGGACTTCTTAACATAACTAACTGTCCATGCATATTCGCCTGCTTATTTTCTCTAAGACCCTAGTAAAATTATAGTTAAGGATTTTTTTTAAAAGAAGTAAACTCATAGGACCATGAGTGGAAATGACAAATGGATGGGAGATTTTCAACTTATTTTTGAAGACCATAAGCAGAGTGAAAATCCAGTGAAGCAGGAGAAGCTATGACCTAATATATCTTTCAAGGAGAATATAGCAAGAAGAGTTTCTTGCCTGCAGAACCCCCTTATTGGCTCGGGTCATGGTGGCACCAGGTAGCAGAAGAGGTGTACATGGTAAATGAGGGGACTGATTTCTTTCTTTCTTTATTTTTAATATGAAATTTATTGTCAAACTCGTTTCCATACAACACCCAGTGCTCATCCCAACAGGTACCCTCCTCAATGCCCATCACCCACCCTCCCCACCCTCCTGCCCTCCATCAACCCTCAGTTTATTCTCGGTTTTTAAGAGTCTCTTGTGGTTTGGCTCCCTCCCTCTCTAACTTTTTATTTTTCCTTCCCCTCCCCCATGGTCTTCTATTAAGTTTCTCAGGATCCACATGAGAGTGAAAACATATGGTGTCTGTCTTTGTCCGTATGACTTATTTCACTTAGCATAACGCTCTCCAGTTCCATCCACATTGCTATAAAAGGCCATATTTCATTCTTTCTCATTGCCAAGCAGTATTCCATTGTGTACATAAACCACAATTTCTTTATCCATTCATCAGTTGATGGCCATTTGGGCTCTTTCCCTAATTTGGCTATTGGTGAAAGTGCTGCTATAAACAATGGGGTACAAGTGCCCCTATGCATCAGCACTCCTGTATCCCTTGGGTAAATTCCAAGCAGTGCTATTGCTGGGGAATTAAAAGCAAAAATGAACTATTGGGACCTCATGAAGATAAAAATCTTCTGCACTGCAAAGGACACAATCATCAAAACTAAAAGGCAACTGACGGAATGGGAAAAGATATTTGCAAATGCCATATTGAACAAAGGGCTAGTATCCAAAATCTATAAAGAACTCACCAAACTCCACACCCGAAAAACAAATAATCCAGTGAAGAAATGGGCAGAAGACATGAATAGACACTTCTCTAAAGAAGATATCCAGGGGAGCCTGGGTGGCTCAGTCGGTTAAGCATCTGATTTTGGCTCAGGTCATGATCTCACGGTTCATGAGTTCGAGCCCCACATTGGGCTCTGTGCTGACAGCTCAGAGCCTGGGTCCTGCTTCAGACTCAGTGTCTCCCTCTCCTTCTGCCCTTCGTCCACTCATGCTCTGCCTCTCTCTGTCTCTCAAAAATAAACATTAAAAAAACCATTTTTTTTAATAAAAATAAAAAAAAAATAAAGAAGACATCCAGATGGCCAACAGGCACATGAAAAGATGCTCAACATCGCTCCTCATCAGGGAAATACAAATCAGGGGACTGATTTTAAGTGTATGGTGGTGTCAGAACCTTCAGGGCCTCTCCTTCATTCTCAGGAGCCAACTGAACAGAAGCATCCCTCAACACACATGTCCATAACCCTTCCCCCACTCCCAGGAATACTTTAAGATCAGTGACAGACATTAAACAGATCTTGGGAGAACAGTTCCCGGTAATAAAAGTCTACAAACTGAAGAGTGAGACCCTCTGCCCCTCCCTTTCCACTTCCACAATGTAGCATTCACATACAAGTCAACCATAAATCCTCACTGCAATGTTCTACCCCTGTTAGGTATTTGGCCAATTCTCCAAGAAAAGTTAAAGAAACCCAGGAAAAAGAGCTATACATATTGGCACTTTCAAATCTTTTAATGAAATGACCAATACCCCCATTTTACCTGTGTATGGTCAAGAAACCCCTTCCAGAGCTTCAAACTAATTAGCTTTAAAGGTATTCACTCTGGGGCGCCTGGGTGGCTCAGTCGGTTGAGCATCTGACTTCAGCTCAGGTCATGATCTCAGAGTTCATGAGTTCAAGCCCCACATCTGGCTCACTGTTGTCCGTGCAGAGCATGCTTTGGATACTCTGTCTCCCACTCTCTCTGCCCCTCCCCCGCTGATGCTATCTCAAAAATAAGTAAACATTAAAAAAAACTTAGGGGTGCCTGGGTGGCTCAGTTGGTTGAGCATCCAACTTCTGCTCAGGTCATGATCTTGTGGTTCATGGGTTCAAGCCCCGCATCGGGCTCTGTGCTGACAGCTCAGAGCCTAGAGCCTGGAGCCTGCTTCGGATTCTGTCTCCCTCTCTCTTTGCCCCTCTCCCATTCACCTCTGTCTCTCTCTCTCTCAAAATTAAACATTAAAAAAAAAGTTATTCACTCAATGAACAGATGAGCAGGAATAATCAGGTATTTGAGTCTAAAAACAAAAATAAACAGAAAAACAGAACCCAGAAAAGACAGAAATAATGCCATAACAAAATGGAAAACAAATTTTTACAAACCCCAACACAACGATGAAAATATTCAGAGAGGTAAGAGAAAACATGATATCCATAATACTGAGCTCAGAATACTAAAATCAACAAACAAATATCAAGAGTCCTTGTAAAGTGAAAGTAACTCTCAGGACAGGTTGTTATATAAAGACAAGAAATTTGGCAAAGTTGTACAGACAGATACAGAAATGACAAGTGGAAGAGTAAAGACACAGAGGATCAGCCCATGAGATTGAACGGGAATTTCAGAAAAAAGAAAAGAAAAACACAGAAGGTAATTATCAAAAGGCTAATACAGGAAAACTTCCCAGAACTGAAGGCTACGATTGTCTAGATCAGCAGCTGTCCAAACGAAATATAATGCAGGGTACTATGTAATTTAAAATTTTTCTAACAGCTACATTAAAAAATAAAGAAATTAGGTGAAATTTATTTTAACAATAATTTCATTTAATGAATCCAAATGTTATTTCAGCATGTAATCAACATAAACAATTTTACATTCTTCTCTTTTTGTACCAGGTATTTTACACTTGTAGTACTAAAAAAATTTTTTTAAATGTTTATTTTTGAGGGAGAGAGAAAGAGAGAGACATGAGCAGGGGGACAGAGAGAGGAAGACACAGAATCTGAAGCAGGCTCCAAGCCGTCAGCACAGAGCCTGACATGGGGCTCGAACCTATGAACCATGAGATCATGACCTGAGCTGAAGTCAGATGCTCAACTGACTGAGCCACCCAGGTGCCCCAACACTTGTAATATTTTAAAATGTTAATATTTGACAATTTGGGGAGCCAAAAACGTGACTATCTTTCTTAATTATTCAAACAACTGAAAGAAAAAATAAAAATAAATATAGTCATCTTTTTAATATTCTTATTAAAAAAGGACAAGAATAAATACTTTTAGTCAGTTTAAACATCCCATTTGACCAGACTTCTAACTACTATAAATTCATTAATTTGAGTTTCATCTACAGCTTTTAAATGTGAAATAGTAAACAAAACAAAAACAAAACAGCAGGAAAATAGTTAGAGTCCTGGAAAAATCTAAAAGTGAAGGGATTGTACATATATGAACAGGTGGTTCTAAGCTCCTGTCAAGATATAAAACTGATACGTATAAAATGAACTTTAAGGAACTGTCCAATGTGGACCAATATTTCAAAGAGATTTAAAGTAGCTACGACCAGTCAGCCATATTTCAATTTTGCACAGAATTAACAAGCAATTGCAAAATGACTACCCTTACGTGCAGAAAGAAACCTGAAACGATAGTTTCCTAAGAAAACAGTAATTACATTCCTAAAACTTTCCAGTTGCTAATGATTTTAGGAACAAAAAAAAAAACAATGATTTAAAAAAAATCTTCCTATACCTAAATAAATGTCAAGTGTTTGAAAAGAGCTTTATTCTAAGTAAATAATACCCTTGGTAGGAACTTTGAGTCAAAGTTTATAATCTTGCTCTCTACAATTCATTTTTAAATATTACTCTCCATAAAAGATTCTACTCCTCGGGGGAGAAGGCAAAATGGGTGATGGGCATTGAGGAGAGTACTTCTTGGGATGAGCACAGGGTGTTGTATGTAAGCAATGAATCACGGGAATCTACCCCCAAAACCAAAAGCACACTGTATACACTGTGTGTTAGCTACCTTGACAATAAATTATATTAAAAAAAAAAAAAAAAAAAAAAAAAAAAAAAAAAAAAAAAAAAAAAAAAAAAAAAAGGATTCTACTCCCCAAAAGGTTCTTGTTGCAAGTCTAGCAAACCATAAAATATTATTTCAAATGTTTTTATGCTCCTTCTTTCCTTCTCAGCATTTCCCCTCTCAGGGGTGACTCAGTAACAAGAAGGTCAAGTACAACATCTATGCTGGCTTCCACACGTGAAAAATAGGTAAGAATACTGTCAACTACACCGTCTCTGAGGAACAGCTTGATGTCCTCCAAACTGGACTTACCTTCTTATGTTGCCAATTAAAAGTCCCTCTCCTGGCTTTCTTCGTCTACCCTTTTCCAGCTAGTGCCATATCATTTTATCTACAAATACTCAGCTTATCAACAACTCTTGAACCTTCAATAATATTTACTTATTCTCTCAACACTCTTCCCATTTGCCCTCCCCATCAAAGGTTAATATTCGGTTTTTTCCATTTCCATGTCTATTTATTTCCTGTAACTCATCTTTAACTCTACAGTTACTTTTTTCTAAATCTACCAATAAACCTCTGATCACCAAATTTAACAGATACTACTCAGTTGGCATTTTTTTACTTTGCTGGCAGTGTGGAGATTCTTGCCCATCTAAAGCTCTTTCTCAATTTCACAGTCACTATATACATTTCTTGTTTTCCTTCTATGTCTTCAGCCATTCTGTGTCTCCCTTCTTTTCTCCTCAAGCTGAAATTCTGACAAGCTCCAGGAACCAGTCTTGAACACTGTGTTCCTTTCCATTTTCTCTCTCTCCATCAGAGACTGCATATACTCTATGGCTTCAATATAAATTCAACACAGTGGAGTCCCAGAAAACATCTTTATCTCCAGTCCAAATCTTGTATACCTGAAAATACTTTCTGGTTACCTTTAGTTAAGTAGGTATTTTCAAAAGTAGAACCACTTTCCCTTGAAAAAAATCTTCCCAATACCAGACTTCCCCAACTCTCCCACTTAAGCTCCGGAGGGCATGGACTATCTTTCTTATGCACCATCAAAAGCCCAGCATTTAACATGATGCCTGGCATATGCAGTTCACTAAACATGTAATGAAGATGTCACCAATTCTCATCAATATCAGGACTACCCTATACGCACCCAAGCTTGAGAAGCTGCATCAGTACTTGAATCTCTCCTCTCTACCCTCACACAATCCATGAGTCAGCTGCTCAGCCCCATCACTATTTTCATTCATTTCTTTCCCCAGAAATTATCAAGTTTAAGCTGACCTAGACATGATCACCTAGCCACAACTCAACTATAACATGCCTCTGTTTTCCCTTCATTCGGTCTCTATGTGCACCAACATATGCCATGCACTCCCACCACGTGGTCACGTCCATCAATCAAAACAGTTCTATACTGTTGAGAGTTAACTCCACCAAACTTCACTACTCCTGAATACTCATTCCCATGTCTAACTTTTGCACATGTGTTTCCTGTCTGGTCTGCCCTTCTCTGTCCATCAGTTTCTTTGTCTGTAATAAACCTTTTCCCAGTTTCCACACAGGCCACTGTGATCCCTTGAGACTGTGACAGCATATTCCCTTTATATACGTAAGTTACAGCTTAAAACCATGCTACCTTTTATGGCAACTATTTCCTTTCACTTAGCTTCTCTGTCTTCAACTACATTATGAACACCTTGAAGGCAGATTTTTTAAATTTCTTTGTATTCCCAACATCTGCAAAAATATTTGTCCAAAGGGGATAAAAAAAATACGGAAAACGATATTCTTCCTAAATATTCTACATTTAAAATAGATTATAACTTACTCACCCTAGTATCTTCTATGTCAAGCTTAATTCCTATTATACTACTAGCACATAATTAAGTATTTTATTACCATAAGGTATCCCGAGGCGTTCTTGCTCTTTCCTGTAACCTTCCAGTGCGGCAGCCCATCTTGTCACTTGTTCTGAGGTTTCATCTGAAATAGTTGTGATGTGTTTTGTGCCATCAAGAGTTATTACTTGAGCTTCTTCAACAAGATGTGCTTCTGCTTCAGCATGGTGGGCATCTGGATCAATAACTACTTCAACTGTTTCCGCAGGTTTAACAATTTCAAGGATGTTTAGCTTAGGCTCAATTCCTTAAGAATGAATAAAAAAAAAGTAAATTCAAATGGATACATAAAAGTCACTAAAAAGTCATTAGCTTAGTTTATGCGCTCTCAAATGGTAGAGCAAATACTCTCTTGTAGACATAAATACAATTATTCAATGGAACTTCAGTAGATAACAGTATTGTGTCAAGATTAATTTCCTGATTTTGATAATTGTAATGTCATACAAAAGAATTCCTTGTTTCCAGAAAACACATACACTGATGTATTTAGGGACAGAAAAAGATCATGTATGCAACACGTATTCTTTTTTTTTAATGTTTGTTTATTTATTTATTTTTAAATGTTTATTTATTTTTGAGAGAGGGAAACAGAGCATGAGCGAGGGAGGGACAGAGAGAGAGGGAGACACAGAATCCGAGGCATGCTCCAGGCTCTGAGCTGTCAGCACAGAGCCTGACGTGGGGCTCGAACTGATGAACAGTGAGATCATGACCTGAGCTGAAGTCAGACACCAAATGACTGAGCCACCCAGGCACCCCACGTTTATATATTTTTGAGAGACAGAGACAGAGCGTGAGCAGGCAAGGGGCACAGAGAGAGGGCAACACAGAATCCGAAGCAGCCTCCACGCTCTGAGATGTCAGCATAGAGCCTGACATGGAGCTTAAACCCATGAGCTGTGAGATCACACTTAAGCTGAAGTTGGATGCTTAACTGACTGAGCCACCCAGGCACCCCCTGCAACTTATTCTTAAACAGGGCAAAAAAGATAACAAGGGGACAGGTGGACGGAGAACAAAGCAAATGAAATAAAAGTTAACATTTGGGGAATCTAGGTAAAGGACGTCCAGGAATTCTTTTACTCCTCCTGTAACATTTTTGTTTTTTATTTTTTTTTAATGTTTATTTTCAAGAGAGAGAGAAAGACAGAGAGAGGGGCAGGGGCAAGAGAGAGGGACACACAGAATCTGAAAGCAGGCTCCAGGCTCTGAGCTGACAGCACAGAGCCCTACGTGGGGCTCGATCTCAGGAACCACAAGATCATGTTCTGAGCTGAAATCTAACGCTTACCTGACTGAGCCATCCAGGCACCCCTGCAACTTTTCTACTAAGTCTAAGATAATTTAACACCATCACCACCACCACTACTACCACCACACGCACAGCTACTTATAAACATTTATCAGAAAGAAAAAGTACCAATATGGATTAGAAAATAAAAACTAGACTACGGAGAATATAAAGGAGTAGCTACTCACCTGCGGAATTTGTAGAAGTCCTTCTAAGCAAATTAAGATTATTTACTGACTGATTTTCTTTTAAATTTTTTTTTATGTTTATTTTTGAGAGAGAGAGAGAGACAGAGCACAAGCATGGGAGGAGCAGAGAGGGAGACACAGAATCCGAAGCAGGCTCCAGACTCTGAGCCGTCAGCAAAGAGCCCGACGCGGGGCTCGAACTCACAAACCGTGAGATCATGACCTGAGCTGAAGTCGGACACTTAACTGACTGAGCCACCCAGGCGCCCCTGACTGCTCTTCTTTTCAAGGGTCAAAGTACATGTCTTAAAAATGAATTGGCACTGAGTTTGCTAAATACACATTATTAACTTCTGATTTCCATTTTCAATTGAATGAAAAAAAAAATACCCCAAATTCTTAAGATATTCAAAACAGAATAAACTAAGCCTTTATAAAATCATCTCAGATACTTCTGTTATGATGACAGCTCTAAGAAACTATCATATTACTTAACAGCTACTGTTTGGTCATTGCGTCTGTTACAATCTATATCAAATTTAATCAAAGTATATTTGAAAGAAAAAACAAAAGTCAACTTTAAAGTTGAAAACCTTGAAACCTCTTTGAAAACCAACTCTATAATAAACTGTATTGCTTATCATTCATTTTCTGATACAAAGATAAGTCAGTTTTCAAATATACATGAGAAAAAGAACTAGAATTTTTGAAAAAAAATTTCCTAAAATTAATCTCTAATCCTCCATTCAAATTTCATCAAGTCAACTCTCCCTACACTTGCAAGAAGTCACTAGGCTTTTAAAGAAAACAAAGAATTTTTGGGAATGCAAGCTGGTGCAGCCACTCTGGAAAACAGTATGGAGGTTCTTCAGAAAAATAAAAATAGAACTACCCTACAACCCAGCAATTGCACTACTAGGCATTTATCCAAGGGATACAGGTGTGCTGTTTCGAAGGGACACATGCACCCCCTTGTTTATAGCAGCACTATCAACAATAGCCAAAGTATGGAAAGAGCCCAAATGTCCATCGATGGATGAATGGATAAAGAAGATGTGATATATACACACACACACACACACACACACACACACACACACACACACACACACACACACAATGGAGTATTACTTGGCAATCAAAAAGAATGAATTCTTACCATTTGCAACTACATGGATGGAACCGGAGGGTATTATGCTAAGTGAAATTAGCCAGTCAGAGAAAGACAAAAATCATATGACTTCACTCATATGAAGACTTTAAGAAACAAAACAGATGAACATAAGGGAAGGGAAACAAAAATCATATAAAAACAGGGAGGGACAAAACAGAAGAGACTCATAAATATGGAGAACAAACTGAGCATTGCTGGAGGGGTTGTGGGAGGGGGGATGGGTTAAATGGGTAGGGGGCATTAAGGAATTTACTCTTGAAATCATTGCTTCACTATATGCTAACTAATTTGGATGTAAATTTTAAAAAATAAAAAATAAAACAAGTTAAAAATTAAAAAAAAGAAAACAAAGAATTTCTTTCTTATTGCCAACGATGGTCATTCTGGGGGAAATTGTAGATCAGGAGATAGCTACCATTTTCATAGTTTGAGAATACTTTTATTTGTGAAATGCGATTATAAGCAATACATTATGTTCAAACATTTAAATTAGTCTAAAACTGTGGTCAGAACTCCCAACAAGCCACATTTTTATTTTTATTTATTTATTTTTTTAATTTTTTTTTAACGTTTATTTATTTTTGAGACAGAGAGAGACAGAGCATGAACAGGGGAGGGTCAGAGAGAGAGGGAGACCCAAAATCCGAAACAGGCTCCAGGCTCCAAGTTGTCAGCACAGAGCCCGATGCGGGGCTTGAACTCACGGACCGCGAGATCATGACCTGAGCTGAAGTCGGCCGCTCAACCGACTGAGCCACCCAGGCGCCCCAAGCCACATTTTTAAAAACCAAAATTCAACCTACCCAAAATGGTTTCCTAATTTTCTAACTTTTGTACTTAAACAAGATTAGTAAAATACTGTGATGGATATAGGTGACTGAGTCACTCTATATCTTGTGCAAATTCCTCTCTCTGTGCTAAACTGTAGAGACTAGATTTCCTTGGAGCTAGGGTTCCAGTTGGGATTCAGGTTGTAGAATCACTGGCATAAGCCTGTTATTAGGAAATGAGTAAAGAAGGGACAAGCAGGCATATGACATCCACATTTTTGGCTAATGTGGATCACTGTGGGGGCAGCATGGTTCTAAGTTGACAGCTATAGTGGTGGCTTTTAGATCTGGCATTTTCCAGATCATGGCAGGGCAACAGCTTCCTTGGCAATCCAGTTCTGCAGTGTGGCTAAACTGTTCTGAGAAAGTCAACCAGAACGTGTATTTCCACCTTTCTCTACTTTACAATATATTCTTCTCCAAGTAAACTAGGAGAATATGTTATACTATCTACCTCACCCTGAGAGATATAATAATTAAACCAAAGACAGGAATATGTGACTACAACATCACATAAAGTAATTCAGACAACCACCTAAAACTTGTAAAACTTGTAGAACTGAGTTCTCTCATATTTAAAAAAAACACAAACTAGACTTTAAAGTAACAACATTAAAAGCAGCTTACCTTGGTAAGAAATTACCTGTACACTAAGTTGTACAGTTCCATCTGTCTTTACTCCTTGGTCAAACAAACTTCGTTCTGGATCCAGCTAAACATGGGAAAATGATAAAGGCAAATTTTAGTTCAGTCATCTGGTTTAATATAAATGGATGTACCGAACAGGACTTAATTACTGAGGCATACTAATGGAATTATAAGAACACATCTAATTATCCAAGTTGTCATATCACTTAATTCTTTGTCGAAATTAAAAATATTTTAACCACCATGGTGGCAATTAAAGACAACATAAATTAACCAAATTTATTTGAGATGGTGGTTTTCTCTAGCTCTGGAGTTTAGGATTTTAAATAATGTCAAAAGGCATTATTACTGTTTATTCTGCATATATATTTAAAGTAGAAGATAATGCAATTTTCCTGTCATAAATAAAGAAGGGTGTTTAATTAGTGGGGAGATTTATATAAATCTATTAACATAATTTTTGCCAAGTCCCCCGAATTACCAATGCCACACACTTAAGATCAAGGTTAACTCTAAATCTCTGGCAATACAGTTAATAAAGTTAAAGGACTTATGAGCTCACACCTCACCTAGCTTTGATATCTTCCACAATGAGTCTATGTCCTTTCAGTATTAGTGCTTTTATCCTTCACCTCGCCTAACAGTCAATGCATTTCACACAATGGGAAATTGATGACAAAATGTAAGGTTCTGCCTTCCAGACATTCTGTCACCATTTTAAAAGCACACTAGCACTATAATTATCTTGAATAATGTATACATCTGTGTGTCTGCATTCCACGCAGCTGGAGGCACAAAGCTCCTCCCATTCCCCTTCCCAAGAATTCAGTCAATGCTGTAGTCATGGTACAAACACATTTTCTAATATTAAAAAAGCAGTCATACAAATAAAACCTAAAATCTTAAATGACTTTAGGTCTAAATGTGAACACACACAAAACACTCTGTATAACCCTGCACAAAGACAGGGCAAACATGGTAGTTTCACTCCTTAAAAGAAGTCTCTCTGCTTAACGGTCTGTTAAAAACTCTCCCGATACCCAGATTCCTCCTCTCTGTGGTAGGCACGGGTATGATCCAGCAGAAGCTACAGCATGCGGTACTGACAGTGAACTCTCACACAGTACTGTATATCCTAGCTAGTTCACATACTCCTCAAAGGAGCACAACTCTGCCACTCCCCATCAGCGTTCAAGTCCACATTCATCTGAAAATACAAAAGCATCACCACAAGCAGCAAGCATTCTGACTCCAGATGCATGTGGTTATTGTTATGAATATGAGAAGCTGCTATCCTCACATTCTTTTTAAGAGAAAGGGAGACAGGGAGGACTGCAAAAGGCTTTAGATACTACGGTAGCTCTGAATTCTGTGATACTACAAATGATGCATATTTCCAATATTATTCAACTAATATTTACTGAGAACTTATGATACTTTGGGTACTTTGCAGGTAATACTTTCATTTTGGTTAGGTCAGGTATGATTAAAAAAAAAAAACAATAAATGTTAGAGCTGAAAGACAAGAGATCAAGTCCAGATTCCCCTTTATTTTAGAGGTAAAGTCCAGTGACACTAAGTTAATACAAACTTTTTTAAAAGTCTGCCTTAAACAAGAGTTTGGAGTCACATAGGCCTGTGTTCAAATTCCAATGTACCTCTTTGTAGCTATGCATTGGGCAAATTTTTAACTTCTTTAAATTTCAGTTTCTACATCTGTAGAATGTAATTAAGAATATGCTGATTTGGGGGCTACTAGATGGCTAGTTGGTTGAACATCTGATGCTTGATTTCGACTCAGGTCATGATCCTAGGGTCATGGGATCGACACCTGTGATGGGTTCCAACTCAGGTCATGACCCTAGGGTCATGGGATTGACACCTGTGATGGGTTCCGTGTTGAGTATGGAGCTTGCTTAAGGTTCTCTCTCTCCCCAACTCTGTCCCTCTCCTTACTCCTGCTCTCTCTAAAATTAAAAAAAAAAAAAAAAAAAAAAAAAAAAAAAAAAAAAAAAAAATGCTGATTTCAAAAACTGATGTGAATGTTAAATGATATAATGTAGCAGTGTCCTGCAATTATTATTTTTTAAAGTTTATCTTTTTGAGAGAGACATTTTTGACATTTAAGTCTTCTCTTGGAGAGAGAATAAATTAGCACAGTCTTTTTGGAAGGTAATCTGGTATTTAGTGTCTACTAATATTGAATGTGAAATACCTAGTAGCTCACCTCAATAAATTGTTATAAATTGACACAGAGACACCAAGAATAGGGGAGAGGCAGAGAGAGAAGAAGAAAAAGAGAATCCCAAGCAGGCTCCATGCTGTCAGCACAGAGCCCAAAGTGAGGTTCAATCCCATGATCTTCCACAACTGCAAGATCATGACCTGAGCCAAAATCAAGAGTTGGGTGACTAACTGACTGAGCCACCCAGACACCCCTGCAATTATGTTTTCATTCAAGGTAAACTGCCCATACAGTTCCATTTCACCAATTTTTAACGGCTGTCTTAAACGCCAATCTACAGAAGGTATTTATCTAAGTCCGTTTTTGGAACATTTAAGTTATTTTCAGTTTCTGCACAACAATGCAATGAATATCTCAGATGTATAACTGTTCACCTAGGTGAGGATTTCTGTAAGAACAATTTATTGAGGTGAGCTACTAGGTATTTCACATTCAATATTAATAGACACTAAATGCCAGACTACCTTCCAAAAAGACTGTGCTAATTTATTTTCTCCAAGAGAAGAAAAGACTTAAATGTCAAAAATTCTAATATTACTAGACTCACATACATTCTCTAATTCTAGAAGAGCAAGATCCTTGTCCCTTTCAACATTCACTAGATTTACTGAAAGGAAAAGATAAAAGTATGGTTGAGTGGCAAGTGAAATGCACAAATTTCATCTAAACATTTCAACTTATTCTACATCAAAATATTATTTAAAAATAATAGACAGGGGCGCCTGGGTGGCTCAGATGGTGGAGCATCAGATTCTTGGTTTCGCTTCAGGTCATGATCCTACGGTTCATGAGTTTGAGCCCCACATCGGGCTCTGCACTGACAATGCAGAGCCTGTTTGGCATTCTCTCTCTTCCCCTCCCGCGCACTCTCTCTCAAAATAATAAACTTAAAAAAAAAAAAAATAGACATACGATGATTTGAATTTCTAAAAAACTAAGGTAAAAGTCCTACAACACATGGAGTGCCTATGTCATAAGGCAAACAAAGGGAAGAAGAGATTAAACAAACCAAATAGTCCCAAAAAGGACACCATTTGTATTCATATAATTTAGCATACAAAAACAGTATAAAACTCTAATACTTACTCTTATATTCAAGGAAGGTCTGGAGAAACTATTTGAGCAATTCTATCTAAGCCACTACCTTTTATACATGAAAATACTACCTTTCTTGAAAGAATACCATAAAATACGACTATGAATATGCTGAAAACACAATATACTGTTAAAATACTACCACAGGTAAAATCCTATTGCAATAAACTCTAAGAAATATATACACTTAAGTTCTTATCCGAAATGCACTGCTGGAACAAATAAATATGGAAAGGAATATAAAAATCATTTAGGCAATTTTTTTCTTTTTGAAGATAAGGAAACTAATGCACAAAGAAGCTAAAAGCTAGTTAGAAACAGGATGTGAGGAGGGCACACTGCAGGTTCCAACGTCCATGTGCTTCTCACTACTTTATGTTTAGGCTTTGATTCACATGTATTTGAACTTATTTTATATTTGTAAAGTAAAAAGCAAATGTTTCGTTTAGTACTCAATCTTTTAAATGGAATTTTGAATGGAGAGAATTTTGCTGGAATAACTTTTACTCCTAAATGCTTAAATTTTGTAAAACAGGTCAAATTTAGTTATAATGATTATAGCTGTACAGATAAAAGGCTAACGAGAAAACATTTCTGGGATGCCTGGCTGGCTCAGGTTGGTAGATCATCCAACTATTGATCTGGGGGTTCTAAGTTTGAGCCCCACCTTGGGTGTAACGATTACTTAAAAAAAAAAAAAATTCTACTGGGGCGCCTGGGTGGCTCAGTCGGTTAGGCGGCCGACTTTGGCTCGGGTCGTGATCTCGCTGTCCGTGAGTTCGAGCCCCGCGTCGGGCTCTGTGCTGACAGCTCAGAGCCTGGAGCCTGTTTCAGATTCTGTGTCTCCCTCTCTCTGACCCTCCCCCGTTCATGCTCTGTCTCTCTCTGTCTCAAAAATAAATAAACTTTAAAAAAAAAATTAAAAAAAAAAAATTCTAATGCAGACTTAAATGCTGAAACATAAATCTAAAAAAAAAAAAAAAACCAAAACTTTTTTTTTACCTGGATATCTTGCAGGCAAATTTCATGAGCATCCAAAGAACACTGTAGTCTTGGTTCTAGTAGTTTCTTTAAATTGCCTATTGGCTCATTGATGTCTATAGCCTGGCTTACACATTCAGCCGGAGTGTAGGTTTGTTCTACAATGCTAAATGTTAAAGGATATAATTGTTAACATTTTTACCCTGGATATTAAAGTAACAATACGCTCAAACCAAAACTCAATATCAAAACACATTTCTGGTCTTTGAAACTCATTTCTGCATAGACACTATTCATAGTGGTAGGCTTGTCACCAACTAGTGTTGCCAAATTGAATACTGAATTGCAGAGAAATGTGAGCTTGAAATGTGAAGATACAGTCTTGCAGACATATCTCTCTAGGTATATAAATGTCCATATGTCTGTATACATATAGAAATACTACATATACAATATTTACAGGGAAATGTTTGCATTATGTTACATTTTCAAGTCATTTTGAAAAATTTTAGGCCCAGAATGGAAGGTAAAAGTCTCCCTAAAATTTGTATGCCATCTCTACTAGTCAATTTCCTTTCCCAACATAAATGTAAATAATAAAGCATGAAAATGTAAGTTACATAAAATACTTCTGATTTAACTTAATCTGAGAACTACTGCTTATAATCAGCATAACTCCACAATAAAAAAATTACATTCCTGCTTTAAAGCTTTCTGAGGCTCTTCCGTACTGTTATTTCATACTTTGAATTTTATGAAATCGTAAGTTCCAAGAGAGTAAAATCTTGGCAAACAATTCTACATACTTTTTGAAATCCTTATATGGTGTCGAATAGAAGACACACATCAAATAATATCTGCTAAATTAGTGAATCTGGAGTTCAACTAAGTTTCACAGCATGTTTAATATGATTTGAATCTTATTTGCATCATGTATTTAAAAATTTGTCCAGTTCCGTTTTCACATAAATTCCAAGTATAATGTGATATATGCATGATATTCCTGAATATCACTTACTAGTGTACATAACCCGGATTTCTTCTAAAACTTTAACAAAAGTTCATAATAGAACACTCATGATTAAAAACAAAGATTATTTTTAAATACTAGTAAACTATTACTATTATTTTTATTAAGGTAAAACAATTGGGTCTTTTGGCCACGTATTTCTAACAAATTCTTTAGCTATAGCACAATAGGCTATCTTTTCCTTTTTCTGTAACAATCATTCTTTAAAAGAAATGTCACTTTAAGACAGATTTTAAAGACCCACTTTATGTGAGCGCAACATTTGAAAATTTTTTAAATATTTTGTTGATACTACTTAAACTTTGGAAAATTTCATGCAAAACTGAGTTTCTCTTGAAAAACTGAGAATGTTCTCATATCCCTGGACCTAAATTCCTGCACAACAACAATGTACAGACGACAGCTTCATAGCAATAACTGCTCCTTTACAGCTACTCCCCTCGTCAATGTAGTAACTATCAATTTCTTACAAGAGACATCTGCAGAGATTTTCTATAAAGGGCCAAACAGTAAACACTTTAGGTTATGTGGGCCATTTGTGTGTGTTACATAAACATAAATACACGCAAGTCAGGCTCCAAGAGACCAAATGATCCTCACCTCCTAATAATCTACCTTTTAGTAGTTACCTTCCACACTGTTTGGAGGTTGCACTGTGTGACCAAAAGACTAAGACAGAAGTGATATATCACCTCTTAGGTAATTTAGAAAGAGACTACAATGTCTATCTTGGAAAGCACTATGTCAGACCATTTGTGGTTTTTTTAATTTACATCCAAGTAGTTAGCATATAGTGCAACAATGATTTCAGGAGTAGATTCCTTAATGCCCCTTACTCATTTAGCCCATCCCCCCTCCCACAAGCCTCCAGTAACCCTCTGTTTGCTCTCTGTATTTAAGATTCTCTTATGGTTTTGGCAGACCATTTATTTTAGGGGGAGCCAGCTTCCATGTCATGAGTAGCCACAGAGAAAGCCCACGTGGGTCAGGAAGTGAGTGGTCCTGCCACATGCCACATGAGTGATCCTGGAAGCAAATATGCTCGCCCCAGTCAACTTTTCAGATGACAGTGGTCCAGAGTGACAGACAGCTTAACTATAAGGTCATGAAATACCCTGAGCCAGAACCATCCAGCTAAATTGCTTCCAGGTTCTTGACTCTGAGAAACTGAATAAATGCTGCACGTTTCAAGTAGCTAAGTTTTGGGGTAATTTGTGACATAAACAAATGTACATACACACACACACGTATCTGATAATTAAAGGAAGAGAAAACAGCATAATCAAACATGCTGGAAAGCTCTATTAAAAACTTCAGTTTTAAATTTCAGCACTACTTTCAATGCTCAGCATCCTTGTCAACCTTAGTAATTCTGTCCATTCAACACAGAATTGTTCTAAACCTTTTTATTCCACAGAAGTCCTCTACTCTTCAGTTCCTTTTACTTTCAATGTATTATGTCATCTGCTTTACAGAGAAAAGTAGGGACCCATTATCAGCAATATTTATTACTAACTTTAGTTTAAAACTGTCTCTCCCTCCCAGCTACAAAGCCATTAAGTCAAAGGTAAAAAAGCAATACATTATCTCCCCAAAATGCTAAGGTCATTTGGAAAAAAAAAAGCCTCTCCCCACCAAAAACTATGGCTTGGTTTTTAAGTAGGTATGCTGAGAATTATAAATAGTAAATTCAGAAAATACCAACCTTTCTTCTGTGCACTCTGGTTTCTCTGTCCCATCAATCTCAATTTCTATCAGCTCCTCTGCTTCTCTTTTAGTCATGGTTAGAGTATTTCAATAGGTCAGTCCTGCAAGAGTTAAGGCAGAAATGCTACACAAAAAGCAGAAATCCAATTTAAATAAAAGCAGAGGGTAAGCAGAAGAGGAGGAAGTAATCTTCGCACATAAAAGAAAATCCACAACGATTATTTATATTAACCTGACATGACTTCATCATTCCACTGTATTTATTGGGATGTTTTCTGGCCCAAACTCTCGGTCAATAAACTCATCCAAGTTACTTCAAAATCAAGTGAAAGGTATGTCAATTCTATTATAGCAACTCAGTCTTAATAACAGATTCAAACCTGTACCCTAAAAATTAACATGGAGATGAACCATAGTTGTTCAGCTAAAAGCTATACATTAGTAGCAGAACTTACAGCAAAGCATTATAATGACAGAGTGATGTAGATTAAAGTTCATTACAGCTAGCATTTGTGTTACAAATTACAGGTCTTATAAAGGTCAGTACAGCATTCTAAAATAGCAAAATAAAATAGCAAATCATTATAGATAGGCATATTATTGTCCTGATTATATGTTATAATCTTGAGATTTTTTTAGATATGCTTATATGTATTTTAAACAAAGCACTAATTTCAATTTTTATTTCTCTCATGTAAAATTATTACCTGCTGCTTTAAACTATCATTGATACAAAACCATTATAATTTAAAAAATGCTAAGTAATGCATAAGAGAGCTATATATATTGATACTTCTTCGTGGCCATTTCTGAGGGATTAATGCTGTTAAGTTCCAGGTTCTGTTACCATCTCACCGGAGATCAATGAATTTGTCTTTGGATTCCATATACAGTCCAGAGTAGAGTTTTCTAAGTTTACTATCATATCTAAAAGGCACTTCTAAGTGTCTTTGACTTACAAGGAAATGGTCCTCTAAATTTGGTATTCTAATATCTGCAAAAGAGTCTCCCACTTAGAAGACTTGACAAAATGAAGAATTTAAATATTCATTCCAAATAATAACCACGATTTATGGAGCGCAGGGCACAAGCATTCAAATGCTTTAGAATCTTCACAACAGGATAATGTTATTTTGAGTATATATGAGTACACACACACACACACGCACGTCCTCACATGACAACTATCCAGAGGTCAGTGATGCTTAGCTGCTTGTGGCTCCACGAGACACTTTAGGTGTAACAACCTAAGTCCACATTCTTCCAGGTGGGACTGAACCATGGTTTGTTCAAAGACAGGCTCTATATCGCAAATGCACACGAGTATGAGAACCACCACCATCTCTAAGCTGGAATACTGCCACAACCCCTGCTAACACATTTCCCCCTTTCTGTGCCCTTGCTCTCACTACCGTCCATTCTCAGTCAGTACAACAGCCAGTGTGACCCTCTTTAAACTGTACCACTCCTGGGGCGCCTGGGTGGCTCAGTCGGTTGAGCGTCCGACTTCGGCTCAGGTCATGAGCTCGTGTTTCAGGAGCTCGAGCCCCACGTCAGGCTCTGTGCTGACAGCTCAGAGCCTGGAGCCTGCTTTGGATTCTGTGTCTCCCTCTCTCTGGTCACGCTCTCTCTCTCTCAAAAATAAATAAACATTAAAGAAAAAGTTTTTTAAACTGTAGCACTCCTTTGATCAATACCAGTCACAGTAGAACCTAAACACTTCACAGTGGCCAGAAAGGCCCTACGAGATCTACCCCCAGCCCCACCCCATTACTGCTCCAATTCTTGCTGCTACAGTCTTTGCTCCTGCTGTTCTTTCTGGCTGGCACCTATTTCCCCCACATGTCCTCCGGGCTAAATCCCTCACCTCTTTGATGTCTCTGCTCAAATCTCCTTTTCCCAATGAGGTATACCCTGACTACCCCCATTTAATTCTGTAATCGGCCTTCTCTATACCCCTTTCTTCTTTCTTGTTGTCTGCGGCACCTAACATACTTTATTATGAATTTCTGTATTCACTTTCTTCCTCCATTCTATTATCATCAAAGCACAAAGACCATATTGTCCAAGTGACTCCAGCAACATAAATTGGTTTGTCTAGACCAGGGACTTTGTCTAGCTTCTTGAGGTGGGAAGAGTTTTGCCAGGTTTCAACTTCTCAAGGGACCAAAGTCTCTGTGAGAGGCACAATAACCCCAAACCTGTGACTATATGAAGTTACATGGCAAAGGGGAATTAGGGTTACTAATCAGCTGATCTTAAAATAGAGATTATCCTGGCTTATCTAGTTGGGCCCAACAAAATCTCAAGAGTCCTTAAAAATGGAAGAGGGAATCTGAAGAGATCCAGAATGATTCGAAGGGAGAAAGACTCAGGGGTCAGTTACGACTGACTGGCTTTGATGATGGAGGCAAGGCGCCACAAGCGCCACAAGAACACAGGCAGCCTCTAGAAGATGAAAAAAGAAACACATTGTCTCCTGAAATCCCTAGAAGAAACACAGTCTGCCCACATCTGATTTTAGGCCAGAAACACTCATTTCAGACTTGATTTCCAGAACAGCATATAAGTAATTGATGGTATATTTAAGCCACTACCTGTGTAGTAATTTGTCACACAGTAGAAGAAAACGGTCTTTTTTCCCAGTTTAGAAGGAGTATAACTCTCCTTCAGTCCCATCATCTCTAACAGCTGGGGCTGGTTTTCTGACAAGTTAGTCTCTAGCTAGTACCTAAATCTAGACTGACTGGTGTAAGATAATCTGATTTTCCCCACATTATCAAGGTTGCTCTTACATCTGCCCTATAAGGAAGAATAAGGGGATGAGTTCTCCACTTGCATAGGTACACGACATGTACACCCAGCAGACTGACTTGGCCCCAGGTGACTTTTGTTTGGGATGGCTTAAAGATTAAGGCCTTTTCTTGTTGACTTCGGACTAATTAAGTTTTCCGTTCTCCCAGGAGGACACCACAAAGCCTGCCACTTAACTGATGCTATGTATAAAATTGTGGAATTCAAACTGGGCACTATAGCAAAATAGGTGATGAGCCAGGAGGCACCTCCTGATAGGATAACTGAAGCTCCCAGGGCAAGAGTATTTGTTTACACACGTACACAAAGTACAGTACTGGGAACGGTGCCTCACCCTTAGCAGGCATTCCATTAATATGTGTTGAAAAAGCAAATGCTATAAGGACTATACACATCATATAAAATTGACTCCAGATGTCTAAAAGGCTTAAACACGAAAGGTAAAACTATAAAGCTAATAGAAGAAAATGGTGGGGAATGTTTTGCACTCTAAGGATAGAAAAGGATTTCTTAAATAAAATCCCAAACACATTAACCATAGGGTGAAAAACTGATGGATTTGATTGCATAAAAATTAAGATTTATGTTCAACAGTCAGGCTACAGAGTAGGAAAATATACTTCCAGTGTTCAAAAGTGGCAAGGGACTGGGGCGCCTGGATAGCTCCGTCGGTTGGACGTCCAACTTTGGCTCAGGCATGATCTCACAGTTTGTGAGTTTGAGCCCCGCATCGGGCTCTGTGCTGACAGCTTGGAGCCTGGAGCCTGCTGCGGATTCTGTGATTCCCTCTCTCTCTGCCCCTCCCCCACTCGCACTGTCTCTCTAAAAAATAAATAAAAACGTTAAAAAATTTTTTTTTTTTAAAGTGACAAGGGACTAATAATTGGAATATTAGAAAATGAATTCCTCGAATTGATAACAAAGAAATCAGGAAAAATCAGAAGACCAAAGCATGTTAAGAAAAGGAAATTCACATGAAAAGAAAACAAACTGGTGAAGGATATGAAGAAATGCTCAAATTCAAATCATCCAAAATGCAATTTAAAATAAAGAATTATCACTTTATACCATGTGCTGGTGTATGTATGGCAAAACTTAGAATATTGACTACAGAAAATAGTAGGGATATGAGGACATGCAAATCCTCTACCTCTGTATGGACAGGTGTAGCCGTTCTGGAGAAAAATCTAGCAGCACTTGCTCAGCTGAAGAATACTTATATTTACGACCCAGTAATATTGCCCTTAGATAAGCACTACAGATATTCTCACATGGATTGATAATAGGATGTCCAGGGCAGCTTTGTTGCTGATAGCCAGAAGCTGAAGCCAACAGGAGTATCCATTGTAAAAAAGCAGCACATGCTAGGAAGCTTTATTAGCACAGAGAAACAACAAAATAATGTTTACACACACAATCACAAAGCTGTTCCATATAGGAAAAAGCAAGAATACGGTTTACAGCAGAAAGATCACTTAAAAAGATCACTTACGTTTTGTTTTCAGGGCTTACATTTATCGCTCACTTTCACCTCCATTACTTACTTATTTATTATTAGTTTTTTAATCAGGAGGCTCCACACCTAACGTGGGGGTTGAACTCAGGACCTAGAGATCAAGAGTCTCATGCTCTACCAACTGAGCCAGCCATGAGCCTCTCCATTAGCCAACTTAGCAAAAGAATTAGAAAACAAGTGAAATTTCTGGGAACTATGGAAAAATAGAAATGAAGAAGTAACCAGAGGTTGAGAAATGGCCCTACAGGCTTCACAGCAGGGATACCTGTCGTTGGACTTAAAACAAGCACTAAAACAGGGAGGTGTTTAAAAGTAATTTATCCTGTGAGCTTCCAAAAAAGTTATAGATCAGTGCCTACACGGTGCCAAATAAAGGAAAAATGAGCACACTTTATGTGCTTTCGGAAAAAATCACATTACTCATTAATTGATCTCAGAATTGATCTCTTTCTCTCTCACTCCAGGCTAGAGAAACAGTGGCGAGGTTTGGGAAATGATCCAAATCTTTGATATCACTGCTTGAGCTTGCCTCTTTTTCTGGAACCAATTCTCCACAATTTTATGTCAATACTTAAGAAAATGAGGAAGAGAGCATTACTTGGTGCCTCTCCCCATGAGGGCTTCCCCCCAAAACCATGGTTTCTCCTAGATTAAATCTAACCTGGAGTTCAGAAAACTTCACAAAATGGATACAAACTAACTTTAAAAATTCCTAGAAAGACTAGTTTTCTTTAAAATACAGTTA